ACGAATTTATGGCCACAACCGAGCCAGCCGGCTCACATCGAGAAAAAAAAACCAAAAATAAAATAAAAACCTGGCCCACGCAACTGCTGCAGTGCAACCCGAAAAATAAAAACGAAACCCTTTAGGAAATTTTGTACAGAAAAGCCGAGAAAACTGCCATCGCTGGCCGTATAAATCCGTTTAAAATCGCTGGCCAGGCCAACACCGAAACTGCAACTGCACCTCCAACTTCCAGCTCCAGCTCCAGCTCCATCTTTAACTCAAAACTCCAACTCGGAGTCAGAGTCGAACCCGAACTCGATTCGAAGCTGCAACAACACCAACGCAGAGGCCTGAGGTTGAAGATATTTTAAAGTTTTCCTCGGCGCTGGAGCAGTGCGGGCGGCACAGTGGGATCCATGGGTGAAATTGGAGAGTCAATAGAGTTGTTGACTTGCACACACATTTTTTTGGGGAGTTCCTGGAAACAGAAAGCAATTAATAACTGGGACTTGTGATTTATGGGTGTTAGCTTTCATTTGTTTAAGGTTTAAATTGTTAAAGGTTTAGCGTTTAGGGTTATAATTTAATTAATTTTGTATTTTTTTAGTTGTAAAAATTTAGAGAATTTATATTTAGGTGGAATTAAATATTTTTTATATCTTTAAATATTAAATTTAAGATATTTATTATTTTTTGAGACCCTAAAATATTTAATTTTAAAAGTTGTTGTTTTTATCAGCAACTCAGCCTTATTTTCTGTATTGTCTGGCAGCTTAGAAAAATATATAGAATTCTGTAACCAGATCGGCGACACTATACAGGCCACCATCAGGTTCTCACTTTCGTTTTCGATGAAGAAATTTATTTAGACATTTTGCGATCCAATTTCCAATGCAAAACGATACCAAGCACTTTTGCAGTTCATTGGCCCCACGGTGCGGTGCAGATATATGCACAAATATAACTGTGTGAATGGATATATATCAACTGGGATAGGATCGGATCGGATCGCATCGCGGTGGTTTTATTAATGAGCCTAGACGCACGCTTAGCACGAAAAACGCCACCGGAGCGATGTGAAAACTTGTGGATTTCGGTTTCGATGCGGAATCGATCGAAGAGCTAAGACAAAGCCATAGCCAAAGACTGGGGCAACAAAAAAATAGAAAAAAAGAAGAAATAATAAAGATTAGGCCAGGTTGGATAGCGATGGGGGCGTCGTTGGCGTTGGCAGCACATCGCATATCAAAGTGCCACCTCTGCGGTATCATGGCAATCATTATAATGTGAGTGGGATCGTGGCCATATTATAATGGGCATAAATATATAAGCTCTCCCGAATATGGGGGCGCTTGGCAAGTGTCGCACGAGCAGAACGTGCCGAGCCGCCTTGGCTTTCCATGGAGCTTCTTTGGCCTCCTGCGATTTCGATTTCGAAAGGTTTTGTTTTTGATTAATGCCAACCATAGACCATAAAGCCTTCCACCTATTTAGCTATTCTCGGCCCGCAATCGGTTGAACAATCATTATCGTAAATGTTGCTCACCAGTTGGTAAATGCCATTAATCAAACTGTTTTACATTTTATTTTGGTTCCATTTCGTTACAGCCACCAAAACAAAAATTGCGCGGAATTCCAACATCGTCAAACTTTGGAGCAATTCGAATTTTACTAATGAATGAATGAATGGATCTGTAGAGAAAGGTGAGTGACAGCATAACGAATGTCTGCGAACTACCGGCTGTGCCATTGAACTTGATTTGGTGAGAGGTTTGAGTGGGAATCCGACTTCCTTATAAGCTGTATCTCATATGAAATATGATAACATTAATGTGTGTTGTCGATAGGCTTTAATAGGGTTAGCTAATGTGATTTATACATATAGGGAATTGGCTTTAAATATGTCTATATAACATTATTAGAAAATAATTTATGGAATATTGGAGGCCACTTAAATAATTTTAAGTACTACTAGTTCATTCAAGTTGAATTCATTTTCTTAAGATGAGAATTAGAACCTCAAGTATGCTTAATAAATTAGCTAAAGTTCTTATTCTTAAATAATAATACCACTCTTAAAGTAATCAATCATTAATACACTTAATCAAACCAACTAAAGTAACTCTAATCACTGCTCAGACAGTATCCGTTTACAAACAATTTCCATTAAGTAACTAAAGCTATGCAAATCCAGAATAACGATTATAAAATTAATGCAAATTAAATAATTAATCTTATCAGCAGTTTTAAGAGCTTTTTCAAACTTGATTTGCAGTAGTAATTGCCATTGCAATTAACTAGGCAAAGGTCATATATAGTCATCATGGGAAATGTGGAAAAATTTTAATTGAAAAGGCTTTTGGTTCTGGCTAAAGCTGAAATAGTATTCACCTGCGTCAAGACAGCGACTCTTTCCAATTACATCCGAATTATTTATGCGGCCAATACCGAATGCCGATATCCAGCGGCATTTATCAAGGCTGACAGTTGGGACGGCGTTCGGCTTCAACGCCGAGATCTCAGAAATCGCCAAATCGCCGCCAGCAGTGGTCAGCGCATAAATCGCCGACAAACTCAATCAAAAAGGCGAGCTGGCCAGCCTAACTCATTTTTTAACAGTAAGCTAAGGGTACAGTTAAGCATGGCTAAGGTGAATTAATATCAGAACACAATAGGTGGAAGGCCTTGACTGTAAGAAATTTAATTTATTCAATTTTAATATTTTTTTTTTTGTTAGAGAAATGATTAAGAAGATCAGTTAAGAAAATCAAGTCTTATTCTGTTTTAGAAACTCTTCTTCTAGATTTTCTAAATTAATTTTTGATCTTAAGTTTCTGCAACTAATTCTATTTTATTTAAATTTTAGTTTAAATTTTCAATCAAATATTATGGAACTTACTAAACACTGACAGATCCATTATAATCGAAAGATTTAGATCATATTAGTCACTTTATAGATTTCCTCCTGTCTTTGTGTATTTCTGTAACCAATTTTGTCGTGAATGCAAATTTTGTGTACACTTTTAATTAACGTTAAAGGTTGTTTACAGCCGTTGTTGTTGTTGCTGTTGCTCTGACTTGACGCTGGAGTTTTTCCAGCACTTATTTGACTTTGAGACCGAGGCCCGCTGGCGTTTCCCGCATTTCGTTGGCGCTTTGCCTGTTTACTGATTAGCGAAAAAATACAAATAAAAAACACTAGTAAAATAATAGACAAAAAAAAGTCAAGAAATCTTATATTGAATCACGAAATCGGGCGGCAAACGAACCCGCTGCCGAACCCGTACTCCATACATAATTTGCTTAATGTTTACTTATGCTAATCGGGGACATTAATCAGACTTGTTAACAACATTGAGCACGAGTCTCGGAGGGGTCGCCGTCTCCGTCTCCGTCTCCATCACGGCAAATGCCAAACAAATCAACACTCGCACCGAAATTACTTCATTTTCGTAACTTAAATTGATGGATTATTAAATAAGAGAGAAATATGTTCAAAAAGATTACAAAGCCTTCCCAATACAATAATCAATGGTGAGCTGTGGTGCCCAGTTGGAAATTTTAAGGGGTAATGGAACTACATATATAAGTATAAATATAAATTCAAAGAGTTTTGGTTGAATATCCTCAGATTGAATTTTGAAAATTTGTTAAAAGAAATTTTCTTAGTTTTTTAATGAATTTTAAACCCTATAATTCCCTTCATTTTAGGTACCCCTTTAACCACTTTGGTAACAAGCTCAAAGAGCTGTAAATTTCCACATGGGCACACGCTTTTGACGCACGTGCCGAAACAGCAACAACATACAGCTTCATCTGCACAACAGCAACAACAACAGCAGCAGCGAAGCATAGTGCAAAGCAAAATGCAGCCAAACAAAAAAAAAAAAAAAAAAAACACCAACACAAAAGAAAGTTGAACAAAACACAAACAACAATGGCTCCAAGATAAAAGGGCATTTTGGAGGAGACCGGAGGGGGGTTATATCAAAGCCGACGCACTTTTCGCTTTTGAAACAACTTAAGCGGAACCAGTTCCAAAAGGAGAGAAAAATAAAATAGAGTTTTTAAACTGATGAAATACCCATGATTTTTCCAATTCACGCCTCTCGCGTTACATGTGCATTCCCCCTACCAAAGGGAACTTCCTCTCTTTTTGGGTGGGACTGCTCTAAGCTTTTAAATTAAAGGGGGTAAGTGCGTTCTTTATTTTAAAGTTTTTTTAAAGCTGTATTTAAAAATATAAAATATTAATGTTCATTAAGAAAACAAGAAATGATAATTTACAATATTAAAATATAATGTAATATATAAATTATTATATTTCTTACTACACTTACTTAGGTCCACCCCAAAGTGCATGGCTCGTTAAACAACAACAATTTTTGGGGGCATCATCTGCGGAGGCGGTGAAAAGAGGAGGAGAAAGAGGAGAGAGTGAGAGAGTAATTACTGGAGATGCTAAGAGTTCGAGGAATAGGAAAAAGTGTCGAAAGCGAAGACAAATATTACACATTTAATTATGACAAGGTGACTCGGCTACGCCTCTGCTCCACCTTTACTTACCACATCCCCTTGCCCCTGGCGGCCCCCTTCGCCAGCACTGATCCCACAGCTTACAGGGAAATTCAACTAGGAAAATTCATTTGAAATTTTATTCGGTTGCTTGGCCCGCTGACTTCTGGCTGACACTAATGCCTTTAATGATCCATGTTGTCGCTCAAAAGCTTGAGGAGTGTCATTGGACTCCCATTGTTTTTGGTGACTGGCTAAACGCGGACTCTCCATGGGAAATGTTACGTGATTAAGTTGGCAAACATAAGATCAGAGGAGCGGAAAATGTCAGTTATTAAATGAAATAAAAAAGATGTTTAGTAATTATTTTGTAGTTTTTGCAAATTGAACTTAGTACAAGGAGAGAATTAATTGAGGTTATAGCATTGAGTAAATCTGGGATTTCAGTTTTGAAATAATTTATTAATTTGTAAAGCTAATATTTTTAATTTTCTTTAGGAATATATCTGTAATTAAAAGAAAACTGAACGATAAAATCAGAATAAAATAACTTAAGAACAAAAACTAGTAAATTTTACATATAAAATGCGTTGACTCTTCCACTGGATCTCTAAAGATTAAATCAATTTCCCCATCCTACTTATCATTCTCTTTTCCTTTTATAAGTAGATCAGAGGGAGTCTGCGTTAAAGCCCGAGTCTTGATATATGGCAACTCGGGCCAGGACCATGTTTTCGGCATTGATGACTCGTAGTTAAAGTCGAAGAGTTGCGATTCCAGCCACTTGCGTTTATCCTGCGGCTCCGGATAGATGGAAGACAAGCCTCTGTCGTAGGCACATTGGGTAACGGCTATAGCAATGTTCATTGACAAATCCGGGATCCGGGACAGGGGCGGATACAGTGACCCGCGCTCAATATCGCTGATCTCCACAAATTTGGCCACTTCCTTGGCAGCGATCAGAAACATCTCGTCGGGTATGTGATGAGTTTCGGTGCAAATCACACCCAAGCTAATGCCCGGAAAGATGTAGGCATTGTTGCCCTGGCCGGGGTAAAAAGTCTTATCACCCATCGTGACCGGTGGAAAGGGCGAGCCCGACGAGAAGACCACACGACCCTCCGTGTGATTGTAGGCATCTTCGGCAGTGCACTCCGCCTTGATGGTGGGATTGGACAAGGCGAAAATCACGGGCCTCTCGTTATTGCTCGCCATGAGACGCAAGACTTCCGGCGTAAAGATACCGCCGGCGGCCGATGCACCAATGAGCACACTAGGCTTGATAGCGCTGATAATCTCGACAAGATTTGTCATCGGTGCCATATCCTTGACGTACTTTACGGCCTGGTGTTCGTCCAGGTTGCGGGACTTGGTCAGCAGACCATCGACGTCTACCATAAAGATCTTATTGTAGGCCTCGTCGATGCTGAGACCATCCAGTACCATGGCCTGGACTGTGAGATCGGCGATACCAATGGCTGCGCCCCCCGAGCCGGCAAATAAGAAGGTGTAATCCTTAAAGGACTTCTGTGTCACCCGTTGGGAGGCATAAAAACCGGCCATCACAGCAGCGGCAGTGCCCTGAATATCATCATTGAAAGTGCAGTACGAATTGCGGTACTTTTCCAGAAACCGAAATGCATTATGGTTGCCAAAGTCCTCGAACTGGACAAGTGTAGTTTGGCTATATCGCCGAACTACAGCCTCCATGAACTCGTCCATGAAGTCGTCATACGCCTTGCCAACCACTCGCTTCTGCCGCAAACCAACATAGAGCGGATCCTCCAGCAGATGTTGATTATTGGTTCCCACATCCACCACAATGGGCAAACACTGGTGCGGCTTAATCCTGGCCAGAGCCGTGTACAAGGCCAGCTTGCCAATGGGAATGCCCATGCCGTTAGTCCCCAAATCTCCCAGTCCCAGGACACGCTCACCATCCGTCACACAGATCGCACGTACATCCGATTCCGGCCAGTTCTTCAACAAATCGAAGACGTGTCCCCGGTCATTGTAGGTCACAAAGAGGCCCTTAGGGCGTCGGTAGATCCTGCCAAAACGTTGGCATGCCAAGCCCACCGTTGGTGTGTATATTATGGGCATCAGTTCCTCGATATTCTCCGAGAGCAGACGAAAAAACAGACGCTCGTTGCGATCGTACAGGTCGCTCAGGTAAAGGTACTTGTTCAGCGGATCCTCGTACCTTCTCACAGAGATTTTGCACAGCTGCAGCTGCTCCTCTTGGGTCTTGATGCGGGCGGGCTGTAGTCCATGGATGCCCAGAGTCTGACGCTCCTCCAAGGTGAAGGCCAGACCCTTGTTGAGACGGGGATCGCGAAGGTGATCCACGCCACGCACCTGAGAGGGTGTGATAATATCACCGTTTATCTCATGGATACGCCGGGCGGCCAGCAGCTTTCCACAGCGGCTTTGCCACAGTTTGCTGGCCGGCTCCCACAAACATGGTCGGAAATACATTTTGTAGGGTGTTCTTTTTTAAATAAGAGTTTTAGATTTTGCTACTAGAGTTATTACTTTGTTTAAGGGATTATGGTTGAAAATTAAAACCATGTCCGGTTCTTAATATAAAATTCAAGGGCTACTAAACAGAAACTAAAGAAATCATCAACAGAAATTTCAGAAATGTGGTTACTTTTAAGAGAAGCATAAATCACATCCATTTATTATTTTTATAATAAAAAATTCCAGATTTATTAGTTTTCTCTTTTTTAGCTTTTAATTTTGTTCAATTGAATTTGTTTGCATTTGGTCTTGTTCAAGATTCCTGCGAATTGTCTGTAAATCCTCGCTTAGACTCCTCTGCACCAGACTCAGCTCCAGGTAGCACTTGACATAGTCCTCCGAGGTGGCACTCAGCATGCTGACAAGATTCTCCCGCACCAGGCGCACTGTGCTCAGCTGGTAGACATTCTTCGCAGATACCATACATGGCAGATCCTCATTTCGACCCTGAAGAAGCTTCAGGCGGTCACCCATATCCAAGAAGCGAGTCTTGAGAAACTTCTTCTTGTAGAGGAGTTGGCGCTCGCGTTTTCGAAGCTTTCGCAGGTAGTCAACAACCTCCTCGGGGATAGTGGGTATGTCATCGTCCTGGTTCATTTTCTGGATACAATTTCTGAATTTAGCCTACAACCGAGAAAATGTTTAGATATTTATTGTGGGTGAAACCTTGGCATATATGACTAAGTTTGGGGTTTGAATAAAATGCGTTTTAAAATGTTATTAAATTAAAATTCGCCTCAAAGGTAACCTAAATAATTAATAAGACAAAATCAATTAACAACATTTACAAAATATTAGTTAATCAAAAGAGACTTCTTTTGACATTTGTGAGCCCCTGAATATATTGTAATAGATTCATATTTTTCCCCCCCCTCAGCTTTTTATGTTTCTTCTTCACACCTCTCAGGTAAGGTTCAGGCAATATTATGATTTCATCGTAGCGAAACAAAGAGAATCCATGAGATCTTCTGTCCCCTCGACAATGGCAATGCTAATCACATTAATAAATTATCCGCACCTCCGGTTGGAGGAGCCTCGCTCTCGCATCTATCTATTCCGATTCGATCGTGTGTTCGTGTAAATGAAATATTCTATTGGTTAAATTGTTTTTGCCTTATTCATGGCTGGACATTTGCAGTGGCTAAGCATTAATTTCTTTGTACCCCTCGGACAGCCCCGCTCTTTACCTCGATTTATTCAAATTATTTTTAATGGCCTTTTGTTGTTGACTCTGTCACTATGCTAAATGGCAATACAAATTCCCCAAGTTTATTGGAATTTTTCATTGTGAATTAGTTGGAATTGGTTGACATCAGCGGGAGGGAGGGAGGAGGAGAGGGCTATTTTCATTTTTATTATTAATTTTCTTAAGTACTGACTTTTAGGTTTTTTTTTTTAATATATTTATGAGACAGCTGAGAATGTTTAAAATAAGGAATTATTCAGTAGGAAATATTTCATAGCTAATTGAATAAGCATTAATTTTCGCTCAGAGGAAAGCTTTTCTGTTTGAATTTTTTGTGAGTAATAAATCTGCCTTTTGGTCATATTTTACTTTTAAAAAGACCTGAAATATTCTCATATATTCTGTAAATCGATATTTATATATGCAATTTTTAACAAATTAAAGTTTAAAGAGCTAAAACTAAACCAAAAATGCATTAATTTTAATTCGCTTAGCTTTTCTGCCATAGTTGTAGGTTATTTAGATACATTTATAAATACTTTTTAAGGAAATTATTAGATGAAAAATATTAATTTAGTAATTATTAGTTTCACTACCTTACCACCTCCAAACTCTTCCCTAAACACACCTTAAAACCGAGCCACAAGTCTCAAGTATTCCCCGAACTTCAATGGAATTACGCTTGAACTTGCTTTTATGTGAAACAAGTTCTCCTGCTCTCCGATTTCACATTAAAGACCACACGCGTCTTGGGTGCCATTTATGAGTATTTAATCCTTTTGGGCAGCCCAACAATAGCCAAGACCCCATCGAGAAAACAACTACATCAAGCGGAAACCGAAAAAAAGGGAGTGTATCTGTGGCAGGGGACACTCCGGGTTGATTTATATGATCGCAGGGCGATTCATATTTCTATGGCTTTCACTGTCGCCCATAAATATAATTTTTTGTTGATATGTGTGTGACTCCCACAGCACAGGGGAAATTAAGCCCGAAATGAAGACATTCAAAATGTGAGGCAAGGTGTGCCAAACGAATCCGATGGACATAAAAATATGTAAATTTTTCACTGGCTTCTGGCTTAGACACACCCCTTTGAAGGCTGTCCCCCTACGCACACACACTCTGCTTAATTTTCGGCTTGACCTCACAATTAGTTGCAATTGTAAAATCACTGATTTGTGCTGGGCTTTTGCCACTCGAAAGTTTTCTATTTACCTTTTACACATTTGTATGGCTCTTCAGTACAAATTTCTCCAATTTCGTTGTACTTGTAAGGAGAGAAATAAAAAACAAAAAAACCCACAAAGACCTTCACCGTGTGTGGCCTTTTCTTTTCTTGTAAATAAGGGCAAAACCTTTACAGAACAACTTGCCTTCTCTTTTTTGAGTTGTACTTGTTAGCTTTTTTGTGTTTTTTGTTTTACAACTAAATCATAAAAAAGAAATGTAAGAGAGCCATGTAAAAGTCTGGCTACTGTTTAACCGGTTGGTGTGGCTAAAATGCTAAAATCTGGCACAAATCTATTAGCCAGGCCGTCAAATAAAATATAATATAAGAGGAGCTGCTGGGCTAGACCTTTAACTTAACATTTTCTTCATGAAATGTGACCTAAACTGGTTAAGTTAGAATACTTTCCATGCCAAGAAAGTTTGTTTTTTAGTTCCTTGATTTTTATTAGGTTATAAACTAAGTAAGCTCTAAGATTCATGTTTTTATATAATTATTGCAGGTGGTTTTATGCCACCAACAATTAAATGAAATATCAAAATAAAAGAAAACTTTTCATAAATTACACAACCGAAATCCCCAAAAGAAATGTACATAAAATATTACATTTTATTTGAAGCTTGTTCCACTTGACTGTCAAAGCTACAAATACTTTAAATGTTTTTATGCGGCCTAGACGATTGCCTCACTTAGCACTTGAGATCATTTAATTTGCACTTAAAATGATATACGAATTTCCAGCTAATTTCCATTGTAACGCTGTCAGCCGAGGAGAGACAGTGAAGTGAGACCATTAAGCGACGCGACATTTGCAGTTTTCATACACACTCAGACATAAGTATAATAAACACATATTGCATAGGCCTTAATTTGACAACTGAGAGGCATGAAATGACACCAGACAGCACAGCTACAGCTACAGATCTCTAGCCAGGCCACTCATTAATCTGTCTAAATAAAGAACGTTCCGAGCGAAATCAAGAAACATTTGGCTGGAGTTGGGGCAAAAGTTGTAAATTGATTTGCCACCAAATATGGCGGACAGCTTCGCTCTAAATTTCTTGTTATTTTTAAAAATTCGCCATCACAACAAATAAAAATCATTCATGGATCTCATTCGGGTAATAAATCTAGGCGATGTATTTCCATTTTGGGGGGAGAGTTCCGACTTCGATTCCAAAGTGTGTTCAAAAACTGCTCCAAAGTGTCCGAAATGTTTAAACTTTTGGCGCGCAGCATGATCGGAATATATAATTCACTAACTGAGATCATTAAGAGCCACAGCAGGTGGAATTCGTCGAACTGAATGTTTTCATAAATAACAAATGCTAAAGCCAACAATTTCCATATATACAAAACCTCTCCTCCTCCCTCTACCGCTACCAGTCCGGTAGGAATTGTGTTAAAACTTATTAATTTACATTGGCAGTCGCAGGGGAGAGGGAGAGCGACAAAAGCGCTACACACCAAAGATTATAATAAATTTGTTTTATGGCAATAAATCGAGATTTAAATGAAATCACGGCTTAAGCCGTTTAATTTGGAATTTTTTGGGTTTTGTAGAGTTAATAGGAGTACCCCTATTTTTTTTTTTTTATATTTATCAAAAAGTTTATGTCCTAATGATAGAAAAATTTCTAATATATTGCTTAAATGTTGCCTTGGTATCTTGAGTGTTTTAAATAATTATTAAAAATATTAACATATTTATATTATAGGCCAAATGGTGCTTAGTTGTTAAAACCTAGAAAATGACTTCCTTTTGCAACATGAACATGTTGCTCAACATTTTCTGGGATAAATATATATATATAAACATTTTCTTGGGCATTTTGCAATGTTAAATTTACGTTTTTTTTAATATAATAAAGTAAAAGCAACTACTTATTTATTTTTGATACTCTTTTTCTCTTTTTTAGCTTTATATTTGTTAGTAAAATATTTCTCGTCTCAAAAATTCATTCAAAATTTAACCGAATACCCTCAATGACCAATATTATTCGTTATTTATTCGCTTAATTTCGATGTTAAACGACCAACGAAACACAAATTAATGGCTGAGCTTTTAAGATGGTTATTTCGATCACCTGGCTCGGGTGGCCCCCTATTACCATATTTGGTTTTATTTATTTATTTTCGACACATTATTTGTAGCGAGACTTGAAATATTTACACAATTTCCAAATGAAAAATGTAATTCCAATTTAAATAAAAACGTTTTCAAAGTTGCCGCTGGAGCGGCAATATATAGTATATATATTTTTTTTTGGGTGACCCCTTGCTTATCGCCTCGTGCGTTGTCATAAATTTATTTGAAATGTTGCGTGGCTTGAGCTTGAACCTATTACTTATTATTGATAAACCATTCCAGCAGCAGCTGATTTAATTTTCAATTTCGATTCGAAACGCTCTTGCAATTGAATTCTTTTTACTGTGTCAGAATTTATGTTTTGGCCACTAATATTTTATGGTTGTTTTATTGGGGGGGGGAACTAATAAAGGGGATTTCTATTTCTAATTTTTATGGGATTTCTATGGAAAGTTGTTTAGCATATGCATACCTCGATATGGTTTTCCATCTTTCACTGCCTCGCCCCCTGTCAGTTTTTAATCACCCCGAAATTAAGCATGCAACACCAACGCACTTTAATTGTTCGCCAACGAGCCGCAATTTATGGCTCGCCTTGTGTCCCCGATCCAAATCGAAATGCACTCGTCGCTCAGTGATTCGATTCGATTTCGTTCCCATTCCTCCTCCTTCATTGGCTTCAATTCTATTTAAAGGTCTTTTCAATTTGCATGCCCAATCGATGATCATCAGTGGGACTTGATTGGTCCCGACGTTGGTCTATATTTCTGCACTCTTTGATTCAGTTTTTTAGTTTTTTTTATGAATTTATGGGCCGATCGTTATGGTTTAGTGCTTGAAAGTCTGGACTTCCTGGGGAGCATTTTACGCAGTAAAAGTTTATTTATTTTTGGCTTTCTAAACTAGCAACAAAGATTTTCTTTTACTTGTAAAGGGGATATTGGTGTTGGATCAGATTACTGAGTAGAATTAAATAAAATGATTGTATATTTTGTTTTTCTGAGAACAATGATATTTTCTTCTTCGTGTAAGGAGTCATAACAGTTGATCAACTGAGGAACCTATTTACTCCGCAATTGATTTAAAGGCTCCTCAAATAATACCTGAAAATTGGGGTGCTATATAGAACCTCTCATATTAACTGAAAAAAAAAAATTGTATATATTTTTTCAGATAATATAAGTATTTACTCAAACAACATAAGTGTAGAAAAACATATATTTAGAAACTGTTTTTATTCTAATAAATTTACCATTATTATTATCCACTTTATTGTTATATTAGTTTATTATAATAGTAATTTCATAAAAAGATGAAATTTCTTCTTGTGCATTAACCCTACTTCAATCCCTTTCCTTATCATCTGTCAAAGCCACAATAATTCACTTTCGGTTCAAATAAATGACATATTCAAATATTGACACAAGACCCAACTGAACCAACTGACTGTTGTCCAATCTCCCCCTTTGAAAACCATCCCTATCTGAGCCCAAAAACTCAGCTAAATGAAACCCTTTGTGGGCTAATAACATTATTGACAGGTGAAAACCATAAACTGTCCCGGAAGAGGAAGTCGGGGGACACAAGGAATATTACCCTCGATAAGGACGCACTTCCCTTTTTTTTTGGCAAAGTGACTCACAGTAGCTGGCCAAAAGATTTGGTAACAAAGGAAATTGGTAGGTAGACCTCTACCTGACACATTAACATTACAATTGTAAGCTGTAAATTATCAGGGGTAACCGGGAGACAGAAAGGAAACTATCGTTTCGACTGTGATACCAACAAAATTAGCATATTTGGCCAAGACACAAGAAACCGAGCCCGACAATGGCTTAGGTAGCCGTAAATTGTCAGGGGCTGGCTATGTTTTGGGCCTATGCTAATGTCGATCGTTGTCTGCCCACACTTAACTCCCGGATCGAATGGGATTGTATCGGACGTCTCGTCTCTCCTCGTGTTTATGTATCCCTTGGGTTCGTGCTGTGGCATAAACAAAACCGTAGGATCGTGTTGCAGTTGCAGCCGAGGTTGTTATAGTTGTTGCTGCATTGACTCGAAGACGGTCCATTTGATGGTTGCAGTGTTTGTTCTAGGGACCAGCTGTGTTTTCACACTCACTCTCGAAGTCAAGGTTGACAATGATGTGAATAGCCCAGCTTGGGATGCTGCAGGAACAGCTAAACAAAGGCGATCGCAGTTAAAACTTTTGTAATAAAAAGCGAAACCTTACCCAGAAATTTAAGGGGAAAACAAATCTTTAACCAAAGAATAAGCGAAACTAATCCCAAGGTGAGGTTTTATAGGTGTTGTAATTTTTTTAAGAAGAACATAAAGATTTGTTCTATAGGTTCCCTAAACCAATTACATTTCATAAGGGTATATAAAAATTATATATTTTTTGGGGGGAAATCAAATTATTTCAAGATTAGGAAATCTTTAGCACTGTTTAGTATGTTATATCTTCCATAATTAAGTCAACAAATAATACCTCTTAATGTGGATTAAATTAGCTTCGTTTCACCAGCTTCTTAAAACATTTTTTGAATCTCCAATTTCAAATAATTATTTTCCCAACCTTTATAGGATCTTAAATTTCTTTTCTGCTGGCATTTCTATGATTCCTTTTTAATTTTTTGCTGATGAACTCAAATCTCCAAGGGCCACAGAGATAGGATCAGTCAGTCGCTGGTCTGGTTGAAGATCACGTGTCCTCGAACCGCGACGTCGGCAATACTAATGTCAATTTGTCAGGCTACCAAATCGAGGCACACAGAGCAAGTACCCGCGTCACACCCTCCTCCTCCTGGTCGTTCTGCCTCTTCCCGGAGCCACAGCAACAGATCCCGGAGATTCTGAAGAGTCTTTGTCGTTGTCGCATGATATATGACCGCCCTGCCCAGTTGCTTCTGCCTCAATAGCGGCAACCGCGCCCCTTAAGAACCAAACACACACTGAGAAAATAAAAGCCTCCTGAATGAGTGGAGTAGTATAATTAGTTGGATTGTAATTAGGCAGAAGCCTTGGACATTTTGTATAATTATAATTCTCAAATGGTTCTAGCATTTCTGTAATGGAAATCTGCCTAGATTTTCGGCTGGCTTTGTGTTTTTTAATGCAAGTTAATTTAATATTTAATAACTTATTTAGCTTAAAATCTAAAATCGTAAAAAATATTATAAATTGGTTCTGCAGAGCACCAACTCAAATACACCTCGTATTTCTCCCAGTGCATCCCCCAAGCCCAGCCGAAGCTGAGCCGAAGTCGAGGCCGCTGCCGAAGCCGGTTCTCTTCGTAAACAGCGCTGCTGCTGCGACGTGGGCAGCGATTGCGCGTCGGCGTTTTTAGCCTGTTCTCAGCTCTACTCTTTGCTCGCCCGTTTGTTGTTTGTTTTGTGCTTGTGCTTCGTTTTTACGTTTTTGTTTTCATTCCATTCGCCTCTCCGTATCGGATCGGCTGACTGGGAATCGAGCGCCGCTCGACAGTTCAGTTTCTTGTGACTCTCTGCGCGGTTAACTTGGCCGATCGGCGGGCATGCGCGACTCCTATATCTGAATCTGAAGAATTGTAAGAGGAGGAAACCGAGGCAGCAGCAGAAAAAAACCCGTCTCGCTATATACGTCGACTTTGTTGTTGCTGGTGTCTATCTCTGTGCCTTTTGTCAATGATTTTGAAGCCAACCCAAGAGGGTAGCTAAATTTCGATTTTCTTCTGAGAATTTCCAAAAAAGAATCAACCAAGATTTTTAACAAAAATTTCTAACAAAAAAATTGTTCCAAAAGTGTGTGTGTTTTATTGTGTGAAAAGTGAAAATCAGTGATCTGTAATGATCATCTAAAAGAGAAAAAAAAAACCGCGCGCCATTATCGATTTGCTTAGTTATCAAGCACATGCTTATATTTATACAATTTACCAACGGTTTTTTACAATCTGCTCACCGCTAAAGTTGAATGGAATAAATTTTAATCTACTTTTTTGCACGCTACGTGACACTAAATGAAGTAAGTCCCCAACAATCTGCCTCTGTAATCGGCCGTTTTACTGTTTACATTTTTTTATAAAATATATATACATTTCGTTTTGAGGAAGTGTAAAATGTTTCACGAACAATACGACAATATTACATTGAGAGTGTGATTAAAAATGTTTAAAGCAGTGATAACAGTTATGTTTTTTTGTTAAGTAGGAAGGGGGTTTAATGATTGATATTGTTGATAATTAAATAAAATAATTTAAATTACAAAAAGAAATGTGTTGAATTGAGTAAATAAATTGAATAAAGTATTCTGTTGAATTTTATTTTATTTAATCTGAAATATTTTAGTTTATTATTTACTATTCGGGTTTTGATGCTGCTCAAGGAAATATGTATATGATTTTTAGATTCGAAAATAACCCTTTCCCTGCAATTTAAAATCATTCGACTAATTTTTATAATTCTTCTTTTATTTAAAATATAATAATTAACCCATTTTCTTCTTTCTTTCCAGCATGTTAATTTTAAAACTTCCCAAAATGTTTAGCCAACTTTGGCTTCTACTGCTCCTATCACTCTTAACCCTACAAGGCCCACAGCCAACGGCCGGCAGTGGTTACAAGACGCAATCGAATGTGGAGTTGCTGGAGAACGATTCGCGATACATCTCCTATCAAGGTGCGTTTCGGGGCGGGGATTATCAAAAAACTTACACCAAAACTGTGTCAATTGCAAGGCAATCAATCAAGTTAGCCACTTGAGGGGAACTGTAAACTGTAAGCCGTAAATTGGGTTGATGTCTGTCAGAACTCCAAGTGGCTCTCAGAGTCTGCACTCGATATTACGCAAGGGAGGGCCAACAGGTGCCATTTCACCCACCTGTCCACTATTTTTTTTGTTGTTATTTGCTTGTCAACAAAGAATTCCCTCAGCTTAACCAGTCGCATTTATGACACCTCTATAAATCCGAGTATCTCCGGCTTTTAATCAGAAATCGCTCTTCGTGTTTTGCATTTTGTTAAAATATTTGTTATTTTTTCTGGTTTTGCAACGGAATGTATCTTCAGTCGGACACGAAATGCGAACTCAGCTCGAGGTTTCTGGTGACAATGATTTTAATTTTTGTATAGGGTTTATTTTTTTTTGACTTTACCTCAAGTTAAATATTAAAATTCCGAGAAAAGTGAGAGAGCCCTTCAGAAACACTTGAATATTAAAATTAACAGCAAAAGAGGGTTAAGATGGAAATGGGTCAATAAAAATTGTTTTAAAAATCCAAACATTAATTTAATTTATTTCTTTCAGATTTAATGTCCACTGCTAAACGATTTTACGATCCCGAAACGAGCTGGTATTCGGAAATGCTGTTCGACGTGGCCAGGAGCCAAGTGATTGTCGGCGCCAGGTAAAAACCAGGAGCCTTTACTTATGTTATTATAGCTAGTTATTATGGGTTTGGTTTCCGGCCAATATTGAGTCACGATTAAGCCCTGCACGTACGTAGTCACTCTGACTGTTCTTTTGCGCCGAACGACCCGAAAGATTATTATTATTTTTTTGTAGACTCACTTTTAATTAGTAGCACCGATAAGTGGGTCATTATTTTCAAAGTAGATAGCGATAGGGGAAACACCCCCGAAAATAAATCTTCTTAGACGTATGCGTGCGTGTAGGGGTTATCAGGGATTACGTAAAACGCAGCGATCCAGGGAAAATAAACAGATGCATTGCGTACGTAAAACGCTGGCTGATAATGTTCTTTTTTTTTTTTGGCAGAAGATTAAGTTTACAAAACACGTATAAAAATGAAAGTGTACGCTTTACCAGAACCTCATGCATATCAGCAAGCTTGAAATACGAATAAAAAACCCTCGAACAGAACTTATCTCGAGTACCTGCTGTGGGCAAGGGAATAAATAAAGATAATTGAGTGTAAAAATAAAAATAAAAATTAAAGGAAAAAAAAAAAAAAAAAAAAAGAAGGAAAAGGGAAAACGCTAAGGTAACCAAAAAATATTTAGCAGGGCACAGAAAAAAAGAGAGAAAGACCATGTGTACTCCACTTATTTGTTGAGCAATTTAATATACGAGTATACTCGTACTCATACTTCTACTCGTACTCACATTCGTATCTGTATCTTGTAGTTTGTTTTTCATTTACGCTATAAGAACCCGAGGCTTGAAGTCTATTTGTTTCTGCCTCGCATAGTAGATGCGACACCTCTCCAGTGGAAGCCCCGCGATAAGATACTCACATGGACGCAGATGTCTATAGAATATAGTGTCGTCACATTGATAAACTCACTTATACATATAAAAAGATATGCCTTAACCCATTGCTGCCTGCATTGGCGTAGGAAAGTCGTTTATCATGCCGTTGTCGTCAATCATTTGTCAGACATTTTCAGTATCTTTTCCTATACTCTTATACCCTCTTCTTTACCACTTTTCACACTCATATTTACCAGGTTTTGTGAGTTATAGTATGACGATAAGGTCTCGATATAAAAACCGTTGCCAGCAAAGGGCAACTGCTCCAAATAGAGACCGAAAGTAGGTGGGCAGATAGGCAAGTGGGCTTTATTAACCACATAAAATGTAATTTATTTTTATAATGTGTAGGCTTACGCGATAAAGCCAACTAATCAAAGGGCCTAGACGGGTTTTAGATTGCCGCTGCCGCTGGGATTTCTTTTTTTGAGTTTCTTAAAAATAGTACAAGTTTCGCTTTGTGAAAGTTTTATGAAGATTTGTGTTTTTTAGAACACTAAAGATTGTCATATCTAGGTGATATATGGTTGATAAAAAGTAATAAATAAATCAATCAGTTTGAACTGTAAAAATATTCACATAAGATATCAATTCTTGGAAAGGTAATAAATGAGTTTAATATTTTAGGCAGACTTTATATATTAAACTTTTCACAGAGCTTGATTTAATGATAAACTAAATATTTCTAAAATTTGGACCATAATTTAGACATATCAAGATTTATTTGTATTACATATCGTTTCAAGATTTCAAAATGTACACTCAAAGATTAATACAATCTAGAATCAAACACTATATTTTGTACCAGATAAGCCCAACTACCTCTGGCTCTAATCTCCAAACAAACCACCTAAGGTTAACCATCATCCTTGCCAGTGCGGTTTCGATAAGGCTTCGCCCTAAAATAAAAAAAAAATAGGTGTAGAGCCGTCTTTAAAGACGAACCGAAGACCTGCAAGTACCGCAAGTAAGCCACCGAATGACCCTCGATGTTGCCGCCACATAAACCATCTCTAATCGCAGACCGCATTTTAATTGCGGCATAGTAGTATCTAAACTAGTTGTACAATTGTTTTATGATTTCTGGGGTTCAGATGGGCAATTGCCCCGGTATCGTAATAGTATCTGTGTGGGTCTGCTGCCGCTGCTCAGTTGTGGTGGTGAGCGAGTGCATGCTATGCTCCTTGTATCTGGACTGCAGCACACTTGACACGACTGCAAGATCGGATTACGGCCAGCCGCCTGTTGACGGGGTCTGTAAATGGGAATGGGAATGGAATCGGGAGTGGAATGGGCATGGAATACGGGAGTGGAATGGGCATGGAGTCCGGGAGTGGAATGGGAATGGGACTCCGACAACGCTCTTGTCCGTGTTTCATGACGAGTGACGAGGCAACTTGGTTGCTTTGCTTCGCTTTATTTTTTGTCAGGAGCAGAGACAGCACTGAAAAAAGACCAAAAGACTAATTAAAAATAATTTCTACAAGTAAAATTTATTATAGTTTTTATATCTTTATATTTTTAAAGTTGAAATCAGCTTTTTTTTTAAAGATATTCATATTTTGTGGCTTATAATTGAAATTATTTAGTTTTTATATGGCTTGAAAATTAAAATATTTTTAGTAAAAACCTTTCTGGATTTTCCCTGATTTTTCTCAGTGTAATTTTGGGCTGCAACTGGCCGAAATTTGATATAGACTGCATTAAAATAATATTCCGTTTTGTTTTCGCTTTCGTTCGCCTTCGCAACCTTTTTGTGAGTTCCTGCAGTACCAGTACATGAAGATGCATACATATATATATTTATACTACATAATGCTCGCATTATTTTGTTGGAGGGGTCGGGGTCGGAGGGGTCGCTTAAGCGCTGCTTTTCGTATTGTGGCTTGTCGCAAATGGAGCATGCAAATGACCTGCTGGGAAGCATTTCAAATGTTTATACATATGGCTCAACGAAAAGTTATATAAACAAGGAAATTATTTTCGTGTGTTGTGCATTAACCATAATATTGTTTTTTCCACTTGAATATCAGTAGGGTGACTTCCATGGGAATTAGAGGATAGACAGCCTAAGAAACAGGAAACTAAAATAAATAAATGAGTAAAGTTACAAGGATTTTTATAGATTTACTTGAATTATTTAAATATTATTTTTACCCCTTAATAAATCATAATGAACGTTGGCTTAGAACCACCCAAAATATGCCCAAATTACTAGCAACTCAATTTTTGGAAGTACAAGCCACAAATATGCACCTGTGACAGCCAACGTCAGCGCGACGGCTACTGGAGCACACGGATACCAAAAATTGAAATCAAAATTAATCAAACCATGTTCGGAGACAGGGGCGTAACTAAGGAGGGGGCAAACATTTTGCATATTTCTATAACAAACCTCTTGAGCGGCTCCAGACTGACACACAACTATTCGAATGCGGATTGAGTTTGAGTTTGAGTGCAAGGAATGCGGCAGTCAGTGTAGGTAGAGCTCAGTAAAGAAGTACAGTCGAGACTCCTTAACTACAATCTGGGAAATATCAAAAATTAGTTTAAAAATAAAAAAGAGATAAGAAAAATAATTTTATATATTATTTACCTAATTTAATAGTAGAAAAAGAGCTTTAAAAATATTTTTAAACCCTAATTCTTAAGTTCTAGTCTGATATAAGAATTATCTTTTATTATTTTCCCTTTTGCGATGCTCACCTGTAATTGGCGCAGTTTTAGCCAAGATTAGCGGCGGTTGTTGCAGCGGCAATTTTAATTACAAGTAACCCATTTAAGTCCGAACAGCAAGAGCGCCGCCAGAGCGGCAGACACAACGCCCACGCACCTGGCGCACCGGCGACCACTTGAGCAACTTACTCGCACAGGTAACCGGGCAATGGGTAATAGGCGACAGGCGGCGACACCGCATTTTTAATAGCTCCAGTCGCGGGCCCAGCCATATAGATATTTATATATGTATTTGGTATCCGTATCTGTATCTGTATCTCAAGCCCCGGCTCCACTTGCTCCACTGCGCTTTACAAAGAGGCCTTTTTGTTATCTTGTCGCGCTTGTCGTTCAAATAAAAAAGTTGCCGGCAAACGCAAGGTGTGCGAAAAATATGCGCACTGCCAATGCTCAGATACAGATATAAAAGCTCTCAGATACATATGCACATATGTTGGGGTTTTTGGGTAGATGATGCAAATGGGTCAGGGCGAATTTTTAGGAGCAGTTTATAGTAGGTTTATTTTATGTATTTCTGTCTCGTCAGATGTTGATTACAACAGTTGAAGCTAGTTTATTTAGGTTTAAGTCTACAAATTAGGTGGCATTACAAAATTATTAAACCAATTTTAGGTATTAAATTTGATGTAGTTTTGTATTTAATTAAATAATTTTTATAGATTCTCTTCAGAGCTCTCCCTGGAACTTTCTCCAGCAATATTAATTAATATTTAAACAAAATCACAAACTAATTACGTGCCGTTTAGTAACGTTTTCAGAATTCTAAAGATAATGTCTTAGATATGGCGGTGTAGCTTAGAGGAGACTGCTGAGGTGATCGAGCGAGCAAACATCCGAGTATTTCCATGCCCAAGCTCAGGCATATTTGCACGCACGCGCTTTTGCAAAAAGATAGCGAATGGCAAAGAATAATGACAAATACAAATTAAACAACTAACAAAACAAAGTAAAAACAAAGCAACCCAAAAAAACAAACAGCATACAAGATACGATAGTACAGCTTAGTCGAAATTAAATGCGGGTAAAAGAAAAGCGCGAAACATGTGTATCGGCCTTTTTCACACCTAAGCAGAATGCCAGGTGAAACGAAAGATAAAATCAGGTGAGGCAGCAGCAGTGGCTGATGGTGTGATGAGTGAGAAAAGGGGTGCGGGGAGTTAGCTATGGCTTTTTTGAAAGCCAATGCTAATTGACAAGGCCGTTGCTTATCGCCGCACGGGGTGGTGCACATTGGCAGTGGAAGAGGTTTTCTAAAAAGAAACAAGAAACAGCTCAATGAACTTGTCAAGGTACAGAGAGAAGAAAATGTTTTTTTTTTTTAATATAATAAAAGATTGGGTTTTAAATTTAATTTATTTAGATTTAAATTGAAGTTTTTTAATATTTTTCAATGGTTGTTTGAAGGGTAAAGATTTTTTGATGTCAAAATATTCTAGAATCAACGAGCCTTTATTATTATAAATTTATAATTTAAATATCTATATAGTCAAAATTTGTTTACTGTGCAGATAGGAATCGTGTTAAAATTAACAGAAACTTTTGGAATTTGTTATGCTTATTTGCAATTATTTTGTACTATTTATATATTTAGACACACCTGAAAGGAGTGATTTTTTTAATGGAAGTAAGCCATACCCTTTATATTATTTCAGTTGATATTTCTACTAATTTTAAAAGTCATTTGAGTGCTAAGAAATATTTTTTGAGTCACTCGTTAGAAATACTTAATAATGTTTATTATTTTAGGAGCCATAATCTCTCATTTATCTACTAAAACCACGGTAAATAAGTACACTTTTGTTTAAAGACAGATTTTACAACATTTTTGTTTGATTTTCTTTAGAACGTGACAAAGGCAAGGTCTTGAAATAATATTTAAAAATTTAGTCACAAGCAAAATAAACCATTTTATAACAAATGGTGTGCCATTTGGTGATAGTTTTACTCATAATTTAGTACAAAAAACCAACCCTATTCCTAATGGAATGTCTTCCTGATGATTTCACTTTATTTTCCATAATTTTCACCTGTTCTTATGGCCATATATGCAGATGTATAGACGTAGTAAGTGAGCATAGCAAATGTAATCATAGCGTTGAGGAGGCCGCACTTGTCGGGCTACTGAACCCGCCAAGAACTGGGCTCTGTAACGAACACAATCAGCAGTAATTAATTTTTGCAGCCGTTAAGTCTGGGAGAGATTTACACACACGACACACCGGACCGGCCAGTAAAGGCAATTTTTTTCCTCTCGCACTGTTTTTTTTTTGCACTTTGCATTTTTGCAGTTTGGCACATTTCCCGGCTTTTGTCACGTCATTTTCACAGGGTTTTTTTGTACCAGTTTTTTTATAGGTTTTTTGTTATGAGTTTGTGTCGAGGGGTGTTGCCAGAGAGGTGCCAAAAGGGGTTATTCAATTTCCGTTGACGCCCCTCTTGAAGACTTGCAAACCACTCCCCTAGCACTTGCATAAGTCTTTTTATAAGAACCTTTTCAGACACTTAGTCTCATGGCGCAGTTGTAATCTTGAGATTTAATGCCTTTTGATTACTTCTGACTTACCTTGGAACAATAAATATATATTGTGCTATTTACAGGTATTTCAGCTAATACTTGGAACCTTACCCAACAAGCTTAACAACAGTCAATAAATGTTAGCTTCCCGCTAAAGGTTCTTATGAGTTTTTAAAGCTGATAAGTCCAGAACAAGGTTCACAGAGGATGTGGGATCTATAAACTTTAATAACCAAAGTACAGCCTTAAAAATTAAAACCATTAACAAGCTTTAACATAAGTTTAACTCATAATAAATGATATTATGGTGTAGCAATGACATAACTTTATAAAAAAGCAAAATATCCATAAAACTCTTTTATAATTTCTGCTGCTACCTAAGTCTTGACATTTTGTCCGGCAGTTGCGTGACAGATCAATTAATTATCGCCTAATTGAAGGCTATAAATTAGACTTGAAATGGCGATGGAAACCGTATAAAACTATAAATTTGCATCTGCCCATCGCAGGACTATTGGCAGCTGCTTTTCCGTTTGCACATCGAATTGAGTTTTAGGGAAGGGCGGATTTTCGCAAACTGTTGGCGTGTTTATTACCTCATCACGTACCGCTTAAAACGCACAGGCAGCAGCGCGTGGAGCTCAGGTTACCACCTGAGCGATATAACGCACAACCTGAGCTGTAAAACTGGACGGAGGTTGGTCGTCGAGAGGTGCCACGCGCCTTGCGCCAGCTGCAATCCAAATGATTGATATTGGGCGAGCTGGATCGTCAGCCTATATGTGCACAGGGAGAAAATGTGGCAAGGTTTCTTTAATATTTTAAATTTAGTGTTCTTAGCTGGAGAAGAAAATATTTATAGGGTGGCTTATTTTTGCTTAAAGCCTATATTCCAGATTAAAATAAAAGGTATTTTCTTTTTATATTTGTTTATAAATCGTTAATAATATTTTATTATTATTGTCAATTTATAAAATTATTATAACCTCTGAAAACAAGTTATTTCCTTTTCTTTATTAACATTTAGCCTTTGAAATATCCTTTGATTTGTTTATTTTTCTTTTAAACGATTTTGTATGTCTCAAAGAAGATTAAATTTAGCTCAGACTACCCCATTTTCTCCCAGTGTAGCATTGCCCAACTGCGCTTTCAATATATATTTATATATACTATATCCTAAGGCCTCTAAACAGCCGCAAGTGACCATTAGATGGCTGGACTGTGGGCAGTGATCTCTTTTTAGCTCCAGCTCTTTGGCGACGTCTGGTCGGCGGCGGCATTCCTTCTCAAGCCCAAGCACGGCGGCGTTCTCCATTCCATTCCAAATCCAAGCCAATCCAGCTTTCAGACCAGCCCCCCCTTAAAAATCCCGCATATCCAATTGAAAAAATGGCGCTGTCCAAGTCGAGATGTAACCATTTAGCAATTGCTTCTCGCGCATTCGAATGCACTTGATCTATTGATCTTCGTGTTCGTTTCGCCAAATCCGCGTAGCACAGTGGTTGTGTGGTTACAGTGGTTATTAAAGGATATAACAAATATTTTCTAAAAAGATATATTTTTATATGTAGTAAAGTAAAGAATTTCAAAGATTTTGATTTACATATTTGTGAAGATATAAAAAACATTTCCTATTATCTTAAATTCATTTTAGCGAATTAATGACTTTCCATGTCCCAAAATATTGCCTAATTCAAAGACTTAACTACATATAGTATGTCTAGCATATATGTATATATTATATATTCATACACCATGTCAATCTTATCGATGCCTAACCCTCGACTATGTCTTTGTCGTTATCCCAGACTTGAGAGAGCAAAACTTTTCCAAATGGCACACTGAACACCGCACACCTCACAAATTGGCAACCACTGTGCCGGGGCCAAGTTTCGTTACCTGTTTGCCTTGCAGTTCAATGCACTGGCGGCCAACCAGTTGAAAATTATGACAGCTGCTGGAGAGGGGGGGATCGAGAAGGCAGGAGGTGGGAAGGAGCTGCAGCCGCAGCCGAAGCTGGAGCCGGAGCCGGAGTCTGCCTTATTTGTAAACAATTGTGGGCCGTCTCTCTAACTGTTATTGCTGGCCAATAGGCCGCCTTTCAAGAGACGAGCACTGAAAGAAATAAAGGAGTTTAAGTGCCAGTCTTATGCTTAAGGAAAAAGGTTTTAAGATAAATTTAATCAGTTAAGAAGAGATTATAGAAGCCTATTGGAGATAACTGGGAAGAAGTTAATCATATTAAATGAAATCAATCATCATTAATTATACTTCATAATCCTCGTCTAATCCCTGTCTAAATCTCCTCCTCCTTTCCAGGGACACTCTGTTCCGCATGTCTTTCGATCTGGAGCCACTGGAGCGGGCCAGCTGGGGGGCCACGCCATCGGAGATTGCCATGTGCCAGGCAAAAGGCCAGTCGGAGCGATGGTGTCGCAACTATGTGCGCGTGCTCCACAGCTACGGTGAGAACCAGCTGTACGCGTGTGGGACGAACGCCTTCCAGCCGAGCTGCTCGTGGCGCCAGGTGAGTGGTCGTGGTCGTCGTCGTCCAAGTCGTCCAAGTCGCCAAACTGACGCGCCATTTACCCCTTCCCCCCTTGCAGATGGAGAACCTCAACATCACTGGTGTGGACAGCGGAGTGGTCAAGTGCCCCTTCCATCCGCAGGCGAACAGCACCAGTCTGCTCCAGTCGAATGGACAATTGTTTGTAGGCACCGCCACAGATTTCTCGGGTAGCGATGTGGCGATCCTGCGAACGGGAGTGCAATCTAACGAGGTGGGTAAAGGGGGATATATTCGGGGTTCACATGGCGTATAAGTGATTTTTTGTTTATTTAAAATATATATTCAGGTTTTATTAGGGTTACTTATTTAATTGCTATTCAATTTCTTGATTTTATTATGCAATTTTCTTTTATGTTTTATTTTCCAGTTATTTTTTTTTTTTTAGCTAGCACACCTTGCGTATGAGTAATTTTTTTCGAATTTAAAATATCAATTGAGGCTTTTTTATGGTTATATATTTAAATTTTATTTTATTGTTATTTAATTTCTTGCTTTTATTATACATTTTCCTTAATATAACTTGACATTAATTTGCTCAGTTATAGGCGCCTTTATATGAGCTTGGCACACCTTGCGTATGAGTAATTTATGTACTTTAAACAAGCCTTTAATCTCTCTTTTTGGCTTTTTATCTATGTAAAGTGACTTTGTTTTATTTCAAACTTATTTTAACTATTTTTGTTTGCTAATTTAACGTAAGGATCCTTTAAATATACAATTTTAAATGTATAAACATAAAATTAAAGTACAAATTTATGTTAAGGCCGCAAATTTATTTAATAAATCTTAAAATTTCTTATTGCTTTTTATATGGTATTTATTTATTTATTTAAATTATATATTTTATTTATATATGTTAATTTTATATTTTATTTTCAGCGTTTCCTCCGCACAAAACAATACAACAATAACTGGCTGAGTGGAGCCCAATTCGTGGGCAGCTTCGAGGCAGGCAACTTTGTTTACTTTTTGCTCCGCGAATCGGCAGCCGAGCACATGAGCTGTGGCAAGGTAAGCTTATTAATATCTACATATATATTTATATATATAATAAATATATTTATTTATATTCCTTCCCCAGGTAATATATTCCAGGATAGCTCGAGTCTGCAAGAATGATGCTGGTGGTGGCAGGCTATTGAAGGAAAACTGGACATCCTTTTTGAAGGCTCGCTTGAACTGCTCACTGCCCGGGGACTATCCCTATTATTTCGATGAGATTCAGGGCATGACATATGCCGAATCCGAGTCCATACTATATGCCACCTTTAGGACTTCAGGGTAGGTTACAACAAAAGGTTTTCTAAAGCTTCCTGTCATATTAATCCAATAAATTGTTCCCCCCAGATCCAGCATCTTTGGCTCTGCAGTCTGTGCCTACAACCTCAGTGCCATTAACGAAGCTTTCGACGGACCCTTCAGACACCAGGAGCACGCGGATGCAGCCTGGCAAACGGTGGACACCAACCAGAGGAGCCAATTTCAGTGTGCCAGCGGTTCAACCAGCTTTGGCCACTGGCTGGAGAGTTCCCGTTACCAACTCATGGACAAGTCAGTTCAACCCATTGGTGCCCAGCCTTTGTATCACTCCAAGCTGGAACAGTTTGGTCGCCTGGCCCTGGACATTATCCATACGAAAACGGAGCAGGTGCATGTACTGTTTGTGGCCAGCAGTGGTAATCACATCAAGAAGCTGTCGGTGAAGTACGGCGGAGGCGAGGCTCAAACCTGTCTGGTGGAACTGTGGCAGGCGGATGACACTGGAAGCAGTTCGCTCTTAAACATGGCTTACCTCAAGGTTAGCGATTCGCTCTACCTGGGCACCGACCTGGCCCTCACCCGGATACCCGCCCAGCACTGCAGCCGGCATGTCTCCCAGTCGAGCTGCCTGAACGCCATGGATCCGTACTGCGGCTGGAACGAGCTGGTGGAGCGTTGTATGCCTCAACCTCTAGACTCCTCTGTGTGGCAGCATTGGCATCAGGCACCGCAACTCACTTGTCCAGTGCTAAATGCTCCCATTGATGGTGGATGGTCCACCTGGAGCCCTTGGGCAGTGTGCCAGCAGCATGAGCAGCCAGACAGCAACTGTCAGTGCCGTCAGCGCAGCTGCAATAATCCTCAGCCGCAGCACGGAGGCTCCACTTGCGAGGGCATCAGCACACAGGTGACCAATTGCACTCAACATGGTGGGTGGACAGAGTGGTCAGCCTGGTCGCCCTGCTCTCAAACCTGCGGCATAGCCGTAAAGATCCGGCGACGTTCTTGCGGCAATCCTAAGCCAGCGTATGGCGGACGCACTTGCGTGGGCTCGGAACAGTCGGAGATTTATTGCCGCCATCTCCCTCCCTGTCCGGTGGCCAAACCGCAGTCCGTGGACGGCGGCTGGGGTCCGTGGGGTGAGTGGAGCGAGTGCAGTGCCCAGTGTGGTGGTGGCTTCCGGATGCGTCGTCGCGAGTGCAATGATCCGGCTCCCCTCAACGGCGGCATGGAGTGTCCAGGCTGCCGGCTGGACTACGAGGAGTGTAACATGCAGAGCTGCCAGGAAGTGCGCAAGCTCAGTGCCTGGACGCCCTGGCTGACGTCTGCGGGCAGTGGAAACTCGAGTGAGCCGCATTTGGAGCGACGCTACAGGTACGCCTGCCGGGCCACCAGTCCGGATGCCAGCTCAGTGAGAATTAGTCTGGCCAAGGAGGAGTCCCGTAGCTGTCATGCTGATGGAAGCTGTCAGCGACAGGGTGACCACGAAGCCACGGATTCAGCGGATTTGGCAGACTGGTCACCATGCAGCGTGAGTTGTGGTGGTGGAACCCAGCACCGGCAACGAGGACGCGGCACTCAGAGTCGCGTGTGTAATCTTCAGGCCTGTCCCACGGATGACCAACTGACGGGCAATGCCATAGACAACGAGCTGGAGCATGGAGAGTGGGGTTGTTGGTCGGAGTGGTCTGCTTGCTCGGTGACCTGCGGATTGGGTCTGCGTCGGCGCACAAGACGCTGCCTGGGAGGACACGAAAGGATGTGCCAGGGTCGCGCCCTAGAAGAGCAAAAGTGTGAAATGGTACCTTGTGAAGGTGGGTTTTTTAAGTCCTTGAACTTGCTTCAGTACTAAATTCTCTTTGTCTTTTAAGATTTCCTGGGCTGGAGTTCTTGGAGCGAGTGGTCTAGCTGCTCCAGCGATGGCATACGCCTGAGGCATCGTCGCTGTCTTATGGAGCAGCCCAGTGCCCAGGAGTGTCGGGGGGCAGAGTTCGAAAAGACCGCCTGTGTGCCCAACGAATGCGAGGGTAAGCCTAGGATTTTTAAATAATTTAATAGAAATATTAATCTATATATTGAATCTTTGCAGATGTCCAGTCTGCCTCTACGGCCACTGTGCCCATTGTTATAGGAGTTTGTCTGCTGATAACTGTGGCCTGTTGTCTGGCCACCTATAGATTCACCAAGCAGCGTTTCCTGCTCAGCGCTGAGGAGGCTCTCAACAAGACCACTACTACCACAGCCAGCTTTGACACTTATCCCAATCAGTATTCCAGCCTGCCCACCAAAGATGTGAGTTCTCTTTACCTAAATACCCCCTGAAAAAATATTAATAAATATATATTTCTATCTGGCAGTACTACGACCAACGACCGAAGCGCCAGTCCAGCTTCCGCATGCCCGCCAAGACGAGCAATCTGGGCAATGGCAATGGCAATGGCACCCTCAATCGCAACAACATGCATCACAACAACACACCCAAGGTCCTGGCCAAGACCTATAATGACTGCGAGACGGGAACGCTGAAAAGACAGTCGGCTTTGAACAATTGCCGGAGCAACATTGATGATGAAAAGTTCTAGATCCGGCTGTAGCCTGTCTCCTCTAGTGCCATGGAAATATTAGAACGATATATATAAATTTGATTTTTTTTTTGCGCCGAATCGATGCAGAAGCAAAAAGTTCCTTGAGTGACTCACATTGAGTCGTTTTAGTTAAGCTAATTGAGGTAGTTATGGACCTAAGTAGTTTCGATTAAGTTAGTTAGAGTTTAAAGTTAAGAAGAGAAAGTATTTTAGGGGATTTTCCATTTGAAACATTTCAAAATTTCAATAAGATTCACTCTGTTTTTGCATTTAATTTTGTAGATATGAGTCACTTTAAATTGTTGTACAAATCGTTTAAGTTTATTATAAAAAATAAAAACAAAGCGAGACTGACCGTTAATAATTGTTTAGATATGAAAGAAAATGTGCTAAATTTCCCAAAATTAATGCCATGCAGCGAAATATTCAACAATATTTAATTATGTTTAATTATTCGCCTTAGTTTAACTTTAATTTATCGTAGTTTTTAGAGTCCGAACTGACGTAGTCGAGATAGAGCCTAAGATACGTACACTACGAGAAAATAAAGCGAGTTTTACTAACCAAAGTGTGGAACAAATTTATTTTAAAAATGATTTTTTGGGACAAATAAAAGTTTAAAAATTTCATAACTCAGTCAAAAATGTATTAAATTCAATTCGGTAAACTGTTATATGCTAGTTTTGTTTAGGGTAACAAATTTGCTTACTGAATTCAATTGTTTAGGAAATCAAAAATTTGTTTCAGTTTTGAAAATTTTAACGATGTAACCCCTTATCAAATTTTGAAAAAATGGGAAAATTTTGTTAGTCTTTTTTCTTTTCCTGGCATAGCTAGAAATACGCTCCTGTGAATGCTGATCAAGAATATATATGATTTATGGGCTTGGAAATGACTGCTTCACGTAATAAAATCATAATATTCTTCAAGATGACTGGAAATATTTAAATTCTTAAATCGTTTTCTTTTATGATAATATTTGGACAAATAAAGTGTAAACATTGCATACTCAGTCAATAAAAGTAACAAATTTAATTCGCAAAGCTGGTCTGGGTTGACAAATCTACATACCGAGTTTTAAATTTGAAAATGGAGTAAATTTCTGGCCATTTTTTAAATTTTAACGATAGAAACTTCACTGAAAAAGAACGTTATTCGTATTATTTTTGGTACATTTTAGACTAAAATCAATGCAATAATCTAAAACGAAAATCAAATTTTATAGCTCTTAAAGTTTTTATAGCGAGTGGAGCTAAAAATTAGTACAAGATCCACATGCCGATATATAAACCATCGATCAGCTGGGTTTATAACCAAACTTTATGGTTACCAATTCAAAGATTTATATTGAAACTTATTTCCATTTGTGTAATTTAGAAAATATTAATAATATTTATTATATTCTATTTAATATATATTTTATTAATATTACTATTTATTTATACAAAAAATTTTAGTACACGATCCACTAGCTAATACACACACCATTTTATCAGCTCACAACTCGAAGTTTTCAAAACCACCTCCATACACATTTTAAATGGCGCCACAGTATCTAATAAACAAATGTAAAAAATAATTCTTATTTTCTTCTTATTTTTTTTATCATAAAAATTATTTTTTATAATTAAAATTTTGTTTAATTCTCTTTAGGTACAAACTCCTTATATTTTAACTCTGATATTGCTTTTTGGAATCTCATATCTTCCTGGCGAGCATGGCCTTTAAACCTCCTATGGGCCAACCTAAGTTTTTCCTTTATGATCTTACTCGATCTTATCGGACCGAACCGTGCACGCTGGCGAGTGGACATCTGCTGCCAGCAACGCCTAGCTTCGTGGGCTATTCTTTCAGTGTATGCCCCAAAGAAATTGTAAAAGGCTTCAGGGTTCCGAACGCTACGTCCAAGAGAGGGGTAGTGTCCTTTTATTTGCTTGTCCTGGAAGCTCTGGCCGAGGTTGTCTGTCTATTAAAGAGTAAAAAGAAACAGAATGAAAAATGGGTATTAACGAATATCAGTTAGAAAATAATACCTCTTCAGCGGAAACATTAAGGATATAGGAGCTATGCCCCTCACACTTGTAGAATGAAAAGGTTGTCATAATTTAAATTTAAAAACGAAAGATTTATTCAAATACTATAAACTTTTCTGTAGAAAACTAATGATTTAGACTAGATATAAAGCAGCAGCAAATTTTAAAAATCTGAATACAAATTCATCGACTGCTTGTAGGTTTTCATTCAAAACAATACATTTTTCAATGTCTTATTTTTATACCCTTGCAGGGTATTATAATTTCAGTCAGAAGTTTGAAACGCAGTGAAGGAGACGTTTCCGACCCTATAAAGTATATATATTCTTGATCAGCATCAACAGGGGAATCTTTCTAGATATGTCAGGAAGAAATCGATTTTTTGGCCATTTTTGCAAAATTTTATAAAGGGTTACATCATTAAAATTTTTGATTTTGATAAAAAAATTAATTTTCAAAATGAAGTATGCAGATTTATTAACTGTAGAAAATCTTGCACAGAACAGTTTTCCGATTTAAATTTAATGCTCTTTTGGCCGAGTTATAATATTTTTAATTTAAAAAAATTTAAATTTTTTTAATAGAAAAAATCCGATTTTATAATACAATATATTTTTCTAAGTCAAGGAATCATTTCCGACCCCATAAACCATATATATTCTTGATCAGCATCAACAGGGGAATCTTTCTAGACATGTCCGGAAGAAATCGATTTTTTTGCCATTTTTGCGAAATTTGATAAGGGGTTACATCATTAAAATTAGCAAAAATGGCCAAAAATTTTGATTTCTTAAAATTTTAAATTTGGTATGCAGTTTTTTTTAATTAATAAAAACTAACACAAAACTGCTTTCCGAATCGAAATTAATGCATTTTTGGCTTAGTTATGATATATTTTAATTTTTACCTGCAAGGGTATACAAACTTTGGCTGGCCAAAGCTAGCTTTCTTTCTTGTTCTATTTATGACTTAAGTTAATATCGATATCGAAAACAGGAATAGTTCACTTTTATTACTTAAAATATATATTACATATATTTAATCTTAAGCCGCGATATTACATTTCCAACTTTCCATAACTTATTTCAATGGGTTTAACAAACAATCAATTGCCATGACTGTGGCCTAGACTCCCGAAATTTATGTGAGGTTCCCACAATAATTTATCAAAGCGACAACCAACCGGCAATTGAACATGAAGTGATCTCGCTGCTGTATGCCGAGGACTGCCTAAATGATCTTCCGAGATTAAGGGGATTTCGGGCGCAGGCGCACCATCAGAAGTCATCATCAGGAAGGTGTCACAAATCATTCACACACGACAGGGGGAAATTCGGTGGGGAAAATGAGTGTGGAAGTGATATTAAAGCGGCCAAAGATAAATACGGGGAAGCGGGTGGCCAGGAAAATTGAAACAGTTGCTTGGAAAAATCAACCAAAGACCCGAGGACCAGCACTTCCAGCGAAGCGTTCATCCATCGTGTAATACAATCCGTGCGTAACTATAACTACTTAGTAGACGCATGTATCTTGTAGCTTCGATCCGTGAGGTGAACAAACTCTGCGCTGCGCTTGCGCTTGCGCCTGAGCCTCATATCTTCGCTTCGCGGGAAGTGTGTCCTCCTGTTGCTGTCATCCAATTTCAAAACATGAAAAATTAGTCCATTTCCGTTGCCTAGATGCCGGCTCCATGTGCTCACCTCGCCTCATCCTTGGCCCCGTGGGTTGAATGAACTGCAATTGTATCCAGATTCAGTCCTGCACGGCAGACTTGTTGCCGCATTGCGACATATTATCCCACCACCACCTTGGGTGCGTTGAACTCGGGCTTAGGATAGTTCGTTGGGGTTGCGGTTGCAGTGGTTTTTGAATGGTACAGTCACCGGGAGGATAAGGACACCAGGCTGACAATGTTGAAGATAGTTGAAGGTAAATTATTAATTAAAATGGGGGATTAGATATCCAGTTTTGTAATGTTAGTTAATTGTATTTCAAAAAGGCTATCGTTTGATAATTATCAAACTAATTTTATAGGAAATATTACTACTATATTCCTCTTTATTTATTTGTAAAATAAGAAAATTATATACATTTGCCTTATCTATAAGTTTTATAAATTTCTTGACCGTTTAAGGAGATCTTTTTGAATAGCTGAATATTTTAATATATCTTTGCATATCCTCAATTTATAGTTAAAATAGTTTGCAAAATTTTTGAAAATGTATAAAAATAACACAACAATGTGTCCTTAAGTTTATTTTTGGTTTCTCCCCCTAAGGCTGGATATTTAGCTAAAATTTCTGGAACCCCTTTTCTAGGATACTTTGAAATTTCCGCTCCCCTTCTTAGGCAGCGAGTGAAGTCCGAGAGCGGAGATTGCAGTGCAATTAAATGGCAACCAAGCAAGCGACACTCTGGTTCCGCCATCAACCCGCTGCCCTCCTCCTCCTTCGCCTCCGCCTCCTCCACCTCCGCTCCGATTGCTCCACATCTTGGGGCGCATATCCCATTAGAAACCGAGCACGCTTCGCGGGGTGCAACGAAAACAGACGCAGCGTCTGCTGTCGAGGATCAGTGGTGCCATGCAGAGTATATTTAAAGGAAGAAAAATATAGATAAGAAAAATATATAGGAAAAAGATAGATTTAATTTTTATAGACAAAAGAAAATATTAAAAAACAATATTTAACAACTATTTTCATTTTAAATTGAAATATACATTATTGAGTAACTTCCCAGATGCTTAGTAATATTTTTAATTGGATGAAAATTAACTTCTCTGATCTTCAAAAAAATATTCATAAAATTATTTTATAAAGAGGATTTTTAAAAATATTAAAAGTTTTTAAAAGGGTATTTAAATATTTATTATAATATAATACAGTGTCAAGAAAAACTTCATTTTAAAATAATGAAAAATAAATCATATTATTGATTTCTTTTAGTTAATTTCTTTAAATTCCCTAAGCTAAAACTTAGCTAACTAAGCATTTTTCTGGACAAAAAAAAAAAACGGAATATAACGAAAGTGATGGACCGGCGCTGACTGCACGTTCTTCCCGCGACTATTTTTAGCGCCGCCTCTGGGCTGTGGGCTCTCTGTCTAGTTAGCACCGGGGCGTAGATACACGTACTCGTAGATACACGTACTCTTACATCCGTGCGCACGGATGTATCTGCATCTTCGCCTCCTGTTGCTGAGGGCGGCTGCGGCTGCGCTGCCCTACCGCCGCTGCTGCTGCTGCCTCTGATATTCATCCGTCGGATGCAGTTGCCGCCAGCTCGGCGATCCGCTAGTCTCAATTGCATTCCAGCGCGCGTTCGGTGCGGATACGGTTACGTTTACGGCGGATAAAAGATACGGATGCAGCATTACCGCGAGGCGAATTGATTGCCACATTGGATTATCAGTGATAGAAAAGTGAAAAAGTGACATTGAGGAAAGAACTGAGGCAACACTCAAAAAACTTGCCCCGTGATTGAGAAAAGTTCCTAATTAATTTTAAAAACAAACACAGATTGTGATCCCGATTGGATTTGTGATTAGATTTGTGAAAAGTGTAACTCCGCAAGAGTTCCACAAATTACATAAAGGAAGGATTAACAAAATTGTGTTAAGGTTTGTGTTTGATATATATATTAGTTATAGATCGTAGCATACTTTTATGGTTGTATTTGGGGAGTTAGAAATGTATTTCTATATAGAAAAGCATTACATAAATCGGAGATGGCTGATTAGGTCAAAACAAAAAAAAAAAAAAAAGAAAGAAGATACTACCAAAAAATTCCAATGATATAAAGATAAAGATATATCGTTTAGCTTCAAATTATTTTGTTAAATATTTATCTTTACTCAGAAAAAAATTACCAAAAAATAAGATAAAATATGAAGATGTATTATAATAAATTCGACCTCCCAAAAAATTGATATATTACAAAAAATATATCGAAATATAATATAAACTTAGTAAATCCTTTGTATTTATTCTCCATATCGTAATATATATACCCCCAAAAGACCTCGAAATAATCCCCTGAAATGAGTAATGCCAAAGTAATTCGATGTCGGCCCTAAGTAGCCAGCGGAATTCGCATTATCTACCCGATCGAGGCATCCTAAAAAGGGAGCATTCGTTCGGTGACCACATCCCAGAGCATTTAAGTGGAAATGTGGAAATGTCTGCTGGAGCGGCGAGCCGAAACAAAGGCAGCTGAATTTAAATTGGGAACCAACTGAAAAATGTCGCCTGTGTTCGATGGGGCGCCCAATGCCTCCTCTCTCTAGGATGGGTAAAATAAAGAAACAAACAAAAAAAAACAGCGACGGCCAAATGTAAACAACACAAAAAGAGTGAACGAAGCACAAGTTCAAGATTCTCGGCACACACAAACACACACTTCGTACACCCTGGCATAGCTAAAAGTAGAAACCCGCGCAGACGAAGCAATAAACTGCACGGAAAGTAGTTTAATGCAGTTTGCTGGGGATCCTGGGCCCTCCCCCCTTGCACCTCTCCAACTCCCCTGGCCCCTACCCCAGTCCATGGCGCACGACAAACAACTACAACTACAAATAAAATACAACAACTGCAGCCAAGTCGCGTCGCGCTTAGTTTTCCTCCGTCGATCGTTTGCCTGATCTATTTTCGTACCGCTCTGGGATGTGTAGTTTTTCGTCGCCTCGAGTAATTTGTTTGTTGCATTAGTTTGGTGGAAATTCTACAGAGAGCGAAATTTGTAATAAATTTATAAATCATTATATAGGTTTGATAATATTATATGATATCTGTTATCTAACTTGTGGTTAATCTGGGGTATAAGAAAGTTTTGTGTCAAACATTAATTCAATTTTTTAATTAACAGAAATTGAATTAAAAGAAAATCTAACCGGGATACATAAAACATTTATGTGTGACTGAAATTATAATAGCCTTAAAGGTTAATTTAAATTTAAATATTTATCCATAATTTTATATGATAATTTTTCTTGACAATGCCAAGTTTCAAAAATTTATAACTAAGCCAAAAATGCATTAATTTTAATTCGGAAAACTTTTCTTGGTTAGATTTCAATAGACCAATAAATCTGCATATTAAATTTAAAATTTTAAGAAATTAAAATTTTTGGCTATTTTTGAGAATTTTAACGATGTTACCCCTTATCAAATTTTGAAAAAAATTAAAAAAATAATAATTTCTTTTGCATATGGTTAACAACACTCGCCTGTTGATGCTGATCAAGAATATATATGAATTATAGGGTCGGAAACGACTCCTTCACAGCTTTGCAAGCTTCTGAACGAAATTTTAATACCCTTCTTAAAATAAAATGTATGATAAAATATTTTAAAAAAACTGTCAAATAAGTAATTTTTGTTTCTCATTCACAAATAAAATAAATGTTCTTTAGAGGGAATTTTTAGAGTTAATTCCTAAGCCTTTGAAATGAAATAATCATCTTTCCTACAAGAATATATTTGAAATAAATTTACAAATATTTTAAATTAATAAATAGAATCAATAATATTTAGATATACATTTATAATATTTTAGCAAATTATTTCTAGACCCCTCCAAAAACTGCAGTGCATTTTCGCCAAACCCAAGCAAACCAAAAACCGTTCCTTCGTTCGTTCCCCACCAAAGCAAATTTGCACTCAAACAAACCAGGCGAGGATTGGGGTGACCAGAATGTTTATTTAAAACTTTGCATTGCCAAAGTCAACTCACAGTGGCATTGGCATTGGCACAAGCCAAACGTTAGTTTTTCCCCAGCTAAGGGGGACTACAATAACTATTGCAACACCTACTCGAGGGGGAAAATTAGGAGAAAGAAAGCAGGGGCAGGGAAATGGGTATGTCAAGAGGCCGACGACATTGTCGGTTCAAAACTACAGTTGAACCTACTCAAAATGGATGTAGTGTAACCTTTAGCTAAGCTATAGAAATTTTAAAAAGAAATTATGTCACCTGAGACGAGCTCTGAGATTTTAAAAAGAAATAAAGTATCCTTAGAAAAGCGCTAAGAATTATGAAATAAAATAAAGTTTTTCTAGAAAAAGAATTACTATTAGTTTGAGTTATGGAGGCTCTACTGTACCCCGAGTTCCTTGCTCCGAAGAAGAAACAGATGAAGACGACAGCAGAATCTCTGCAGGGGGCACACTCACACTAGCATTCGCCCCCAAACTCACACACAAACTCGGATACGCACGCGCACACCAAATGTGAGCGAGATGAGCATGTGGCCATAAAAGCGAGGGGAAGTCGTTGTCTATCGCTGTCTATCGCTCGGGGGACACTTCCGTCCCCCAGATCTGTGTGTGTGCATGTGTCTGCAGTTGCTGTGCCTGAGCTCCCCTCTGCTGCTAGAGATTGATGTTGGGACAATTTCACGTCCTACTGTTAGCCGGCATTAAGTGGCATTAAAGTTGTCCGGGCTTATCGCGAGCAAGCGCACAAGCTCGCACCTACAAGAGGGGGTCTGCACGGGGAAAAAATCTTTATAGAACTCTAAATTATATACTTTAATTTAAAATCTTGGAAATTTTAAAATTACATAAATTTTCAGAAGTTTCTGAACTTAAGTATAGGTTGCATTTTGGTTTATTACTTCTCAAATTTATTTTCTGTGTAAGAATTGAGCTGAGTCTCAGTTCATTTCCGCTGAAAATCCATATATTTGAGGGCGCCTTTATGGTGGATCGTTAATGTCAAGCCAGCCCTGAAATTACATATGTCAAATTATATTTAATGTGGGGCATTAGCCCAGGTACAGTAGTTCCAAGAGGAGGTAATGTAACCATAAATGAGAAGAGATTCTTCAATAAGCCATTACAAATGTACTTATTTCTATTTTAAACTAATTTCTAAGTATTTTATTTATTAAAAATTAATAATATTTCTATCGAAATCCCTTCCAGCATGGCCACTCTCCAGCAGCATCAGAAGCTAAAGCTTCCAATGGATGAGGAACTTTCAGAGCTACAAACACCACCGCTACCCATAAATCCCCCACCCAAGGTGATGGCCAATGGCATTGTCTATGGCTTTCGCACTCGGCACTTGTCCTGCATCGAGGAGAATGACTCGGACTCCTTGCATGGTTCATCCATTCCACATGCCTACGACATGATGCAGCAGGCGGACGAAACCTTCCAGAAGCTGAATGCCAACGAGGAGGTGGATGAGTCCGGCAGCGAGGAGGATGGCCTAGAGAATCTGGACGACACGATTGCCATGATCGATGAGTCGCGGCTCTTGGAGGCGGATTATCTAGACGAACTGGTGGCCGAAGAGCAGCTGCAGCAGCAGCAGGAAGAGGGCTCCTCGGACCTCGTGGATTCCGGCAATGTGGAGGAGGACTTCTGGCAGCCAAGCTTCAATCGCAACGACATCATGATGACCTCCGTTTATGGAACCCTCAATGGCTCCATGACCAGCGAGGTGTCTTCGACAGCTCCGCCGGGTTACTTTGAGTGTGCCACGCCCAAAAAGGAGGCAGAGCCTGTATATGCCACGCCGGAAAAGCGACGGGCGAGCAACAGGAGCTTCGATTCCACCTGTGCCTCTTTAACCAGCTCAATGTATGGCGGATCTATGAGCTCTTCGCTGGACTTGAAGTACTCCTCCCTGGGTGGCGGAGACTCGGGCAGCGGTGGTATCAGTGGCACCAGCACCTTGAGGGGAACTTCTGTGCCGCCCTTGGACATATCCATGATGTCCAGCGATGGGGTGAGCGCCCTTGACTGGGGTTCGGCGAGTGTTAGCTGTGTCCTGGACTCTGGTGATGGTAATCCCGCCGAGGAGCTGAACGAGGAGATGGCCGCCAAATGCCTGATAGCAGCAGAGAGTGGTGAGTTTCTTTTCTGGATTTTATAACTCTATTTAAATAAAATTTAATTTTTAAGGAATTTATTAAGAAACTCCTAATAAATCTATATGAATTAATGGGTTTAAAAACATCTTTTGGTAATGTATTTATTTAAAACCTGAAAAAGTGGCACAAACTTTTAAGGATCATTAAAATTCGTTAACAAAAAAAAGCTCGTTAAATCAAGGCCCATGACCGCAATTTTCAAGCAATGATTACTTTATTAACAGCAAATTGTAAACAAAGCTCGCTATTTATATTGATCACTTGGCGATTTCTCTCTACCATTTTCATGGGGACTTCATCCGCCGAATGGCAATTCATCAATGCTGGCAGGGCATTAAACTCATTTACAATCCTTCATTACCGGACATGCAGGCAGGCTGAGCGTTTTAATGACCCATTTCGCTCTGCTCGCCATTAGAAAGGCAGCCGCGAGGCGGCGGCTGACCCCCAGCACTTCCACATCCATTCCTAAGTCCATGGCCATGGCCACGGCATCTGCATCTCCATCTGCATCTGGGCCGGCAACATCATCAGCAGTATCCTAGTCCAAAAAATCAACAGACACGGGCCGTGGGGAAAATGTTTTACACTCTTAAAAATATGATTGAAAGTTAGGGGAAGGAGTTGTAAATATTTTATAAAAAATAATGATTAAAGTGGCAGTAAAGTTAGATGATCCTATATCTAGCATTCAAGGATAAGAATAATTCTATGGGAATTTTTTGAAATATTATTAAATAACCTTTATAAAACCCCTCCCTAAAAATTCTATCCTTGCTGATCCCTTTTCAATTTCAATTAAGAAAATATACACTTCCTTTTCTTCTTAATATCTTGTAATATTTTCTCCCATTAAAGGATCTTAGTTCCCCCTATATATCCTTTTTTTTGAAAACCCCTTTCCATCCCAGTGTACATCCGTACAATTCGATTGGCCATAAGAGCAAACAAAGCCAGTGAAAGCCAAACAAGTGGCCAGACTTTGCCCATTTCACACAGATGTTTAACTAGCCCCAGCCCGGGTCATAAATCATCCAAATGGATAGGATATATACTCACCGGGTTGATCCATCTCCCATTTGGTTAGCATATGACCGCTGGTCGAGATCCTCGCGGGTGAAAACCCGCTGACATTGACAGTTTCTAATAAGAAAATTGGCAAAGATTTATGCTTGCGCAGTTGACTTCCATTTTAATTTAAAACTAATCAATAAACTGGCACAGCGCGCACACTATGTTGCGTAGTCAGAGCATCGAAAAGTGTTCAACAAATTGCCAAATGATGCTGCAAAGTGCAATGTCACAGTAATTTACGTGCCACTTCAATGGCAGCCAAACTGTGAGACACCACCGCATCCACAAAGCTGATGAGAATTTATGCTAAGGGTTAAGTGTCAGCCTCGTCAATATGTATATGCATAGTGGGTGGTTTAGCTAGTTGGAGTTATTTAAAAATTTATTTAAATATTTTTGTCATGAGATCATAGTTTAGTATGAACAAAAATAGAGAATTCTGAAGCGAAATAGATTTGAGATTATAGAAAATTGTTTACAAAAAGAATCTATATCAGTCTGAGAATTTATTAAACATTTTTTATAAAATTCATGCAAGATTTTTAATTAATATTTCCCGGGAAATCCATCTTGGTATCTTTGGCATCCCAAATCCTCAAAAAGATACCCCATTTCCTTTCAATAATATTTTGATAATTTTGTTAATCAATGTTACTAAATAAACCCAAATACAGCACATTTCCCATATGGATTTTATTAACTTCACCCCATTGTGCTGCAATTTGGCAGCCAAACTGTTGCTGTTGTTGTGTGTGCGGAAAAGTGAAAAGTCATGAATCATATACATCATGATCACACCAAAGCGAACCACACCACACGACCATGGCCAGCTAGGATGGATGATGATGATGATGAAGCTTCGGCGGCAAAACGCGGCATCGGATATGCGAGTGGATGGGCCATAAAGTTACATGGCTTATCGCTGGAAAACTTTTAAAAAACACTTGAGATTGTGCCGAGAACGAGCGCCAAAGCGAAGCGAAGAGCGCTTGGAACAGGTATATACCTCTTCCACAGAAGAGCCTAAGCACACACCGCCAAGAGAAAGATCCATGGAGGAGGATTGACGCTGGAGGATGGAGCTGCAGTTGTTGGTTGGTGGCTTGTATCTACAAATAGACGCGCACTGACGGCCGCAAGACAAAGTCAAACAAAAGACCCAAACGGTAGTTGCCATGAATGGACAACAGACTCCAAACCGGCTAGAGACTACAGTAGATCTACAATTATTTGAAAAGTATGACTTCTGGGTTATAAAAAGGGTGCCAAAGAAACCCTTTTCTTGGTTAATTCTTGAACTTGGAACTCTGAACTTAAAGATACACAAAAAGATACTTCAACTTATAGATACAACAGCCAATCTAGACCAGAAGTACACACACCGATCGTTTTTCCTTGGCTTAAGCTTAAAGATATTATTTACTAAGGAATTTTCACAATACAAATATATTTTATATACATTAATTTTCTGCACAATTAAATCTATCAAAGTCTCTATTTAAGACGTTCAACTGTATTTGTATCTGACGAATACGGTACGCAGACTCCAACACAGAAACTTTGACTGGAACGCAGTTGCAATTGCAACTTTGTTGCCCGCAGGCTCAGCTTGGACTTGGATGGCCAACTATTTATTGGTTAGGATCCCGGGACTCCGACCCAGTCTCAGATTCAGATACGAGCCTCATAAAATTCCCGCGCACGCACAGACAAATGCGACTTCGAATGCATTTTGTGTGTTCGATAACCGCGAGTCGGCGATTCCCACAATCGAAACGCTGCACTTGAATTTGAATTCGCAATTGCTCTTTCAATATTTATGAGTTGAACTCTGTAGTTAGTTTGTGAGTCTGCGATAATGAAAGTGCCTGCCATTGAAAGGAGGTATCTAAATGTATCTTAGGGTCAACACATTTAAATGTCTGTTGTTAGGAAAAAAGGGAAGGATATTGGGGGAATCACAGAAGTATATTATGAAAATATATTCCAATATTCTTTTAAAATAATATTGATAAGCTATCAAAAGAAATGACCTAACCAATCTCTGTCCTAAATTGAGTAATAAAAATCAGTTTATTCTTTATCTCAATTTGTTTATAAATACAATCTTATCTGATACATTTTTTATGTATTTCTAATCGCTAGAAGCTTGCAATTAAATGTCACTTCATGTTTTTTGCCTAGACCAGATTTCCTCGAGGAAAACTGGAACCAGATGTCTCAACGTCAGCTTCTACATCTATATCCCTCCACCCTCACCCCTTATCAGGCCCCATTAATCAAGATTGTGTCAAAGGTATTAGCTCATTTTGGAAGCTCAGACCCGGCATCGACTCATGGTCTATGGGGATTGGATCCGATTCGAATGTTTCGGGCGATTACAAACTATTACTGTTGTCAACAGCCTGTGGTAACATTTTATTACGTGAGACCCGTGAGTCTTTCCTTGTTGTTTCTTTTTTGTTTTCCCTTGTAATGAGTAGATTAATTCTAATTGAAAAAAAGCCGGACAAGAGGGGCTTATGCTTATCGAAAATGTTGGTGGCTTGAGCAACCGCATTGTGATTGCTAATGGCCTGGAAAGCTACCAGAATTGGTAATGACGTTGAGGCAGTTCTGGGCATTGCAGTAATATTTTCAAGTGCCTTGAGGGCTCTTAAAGATAGGAAGCTAACTTCGGCACGCCGAAGTTTGTATACCCTTGCAGATTGGTTTTGATGTTTATATTATAAATTTAAATGCTGAAAACACTCACAAAACAGAGTTTCATTACATTTTACCTATACTTATTATGTTTACAGTTTGACAGTTACAGTTTTACATTCCCAGCTTTACATTTTCTCTACATTTACCAAACGATCTGTATGGCAGCTATATGATATAGTTGTCCGATTTTCATAAAATTTTTACCAAAATTCTGAAATAATAAAAAAAGCTTCTATTTAAAAGTAGATAAGAATATGTTGAAAAACAACGAAGTTATAATTTTTTTCCTATTCATTTTCCGATCGTTCCTATGGCAGCTATATGATATAGTCGTCCGATTTTTATAAAATTTTTACCAAAACTCTGGAATAATATAAAATGGCTATATCTCAAAAATGATGCAAAACTATTGAAAAACAGCCAAGTTATAATTTTTTTTCTAAAAATTTATTGAACATTTGTATGGTAGCTATATGATATAGTCGTCCGATCCGGCCCGTTCCGACATATATAGCAGTGAGAGTATATAGAAGACTGTATGCAAAGTTTCATTCAGATAGCTTTAAAACTGAGGGACTAGTTTGCGTAGAAACGGACAGACGGACGGACGGACAGACGGACAGACGGACAGACGGACATGGCTAGATCGACTCGGCTGTTGATGCTGATCAAGAATATATATACTTTATAGGGTCGGAAACGTCTCCTTCACTGCGTTGCAAACTTCTGACTGAAATTATAATACCCTGCAAGGGTATAAAAAGGATGTATTTAAAATATTTAATATATTATTTTACTAGAGATTTCTTAAGTCTTGCACCTATTGATGACTCAATTGGAAAACTAATTTCCACAAATCTCGAAATCCACTTTAAGAAACCATATCCTGACACATTCACGGCGTGAACGCCTCTCGTGAAGTGGCTCTCTTATCGGGACGATAACCCCCTGAGAGTGCCGAGTATCTGGCGGGTTAATGAGGCACCAGAGGCACGTACGCTTGCGTCATCGGGTAGCTGAAAAGAAGACACGCCGGGGAGGTAGACACCGGACCCTTACCCAGTCTTTTATGTTTGCTATTTCCACTGACACCCGTGATAAGCGACAGTTCCCTGCAGTCAGCACCTCAATCAGTCAAAACCCAAGAAGAATAAATACAAAATCAACATGTAAGGGCCCAGTAAGAGATTGTTTCG